TAGTGGTGGGATGGCTGGATCCACCTGGCTGCATCTGGAGCATATTTAATTACCCAGTGAAGCTGTTTCTGCGGCCACGGCTAATGCTGGCGCTGGTGGTCCTCTCACTAGGCAAGTGAATAACTCTAGACAGGGACCAGCTTGGCGGCCAGAAGGCTGCTGCTGTCCTGCACATCTGGCCCCTTCCCCAGAGTTCATCCTCAGCAGCTGTCGGCCTGCAGTGACCAACTCCCTCCCCTGCCAAGCAGGACGGAGCCTGCTGGGAGGCACCTCCAGATTTAACCACTTAATCCCCAAAAGTGCCCTGTCTAGTTGACTGGCCGGTCAGCTGCCACAGCATTAATTCATTAAGGCCTCCCCATTAGATTCCTTGTAGCTGACCACTTTGCTTCTGGGGCCCACAGGCCCCTCCTTTCTCCTCTTCTGGTCCCAAAGCAGGAGTCTGCTGCCCTCCCCTGGCTCCCCTTTCAAAGACAGATTCCAGGGCCCCATTCCCTCTCTTCCTCCTTCCCCTCCCCCTCTTGAGGCACGCAGCTCCCAGCTCTCTCCCTCCCCACTCACCACACAGCCTCTTTTGTTTCTCTCCGGTATCTTTGGGCCTTGACTGGGTTACCTCACCCCTTCCTCCTGGCCTCACCAGCCCCCCTAGATGCATCCTCCCGCCCCTCCCCTATTACCTTACCAGGTCCCCTCCTCCACTGCAGCCCCCAGGCCAGGGGAAGAGGTGGCCAGCCCCTCACACTGGAAACCCCAGCTTGCCCTCACACTTTGCAGAGACTCCAGTAAATAAATGCCCTCTGCCTGAGAGCATCTTCCCCATTTTGAAAGAGACAAGAATGGCCCTGACCGGTTCAAGTCGAGTGAATTAAGAGCCAGGCCTGGCCCTGGCCACTTCTAAAAAGCTACTGTCAGAGCACCTCCATCTTCCCTGGAAGAGGATGGCTACCCTTTTACAGGCAGCTGTGGCTCTTACCTGAGGTCACACTGCCATGCTAGGGGTGGAAGCCAGGAATTTGCTCCTGCATGCTGAGCAAACCCTTCAGCGCCCAGCCACATTGCCAGCCCTTCTGGTCCCTAAACCTACCTCCTATATATGCAAATTCTGATAACTTTACCCATGTGTGCACATGCAGAGGCCAGAGGTGGAAGTTAGATGTCTTTATTGCTCCATCTTTTCCCCCCAGAGTCTCCCCCTACACACACACACCATTTTAGCTAGGCTGGCTGGCCAGGATCACCTGTCTCTGCTCGCTCTCTCGCTCGCTTTCTCTCTCTCTCTCTCTCTCTCTCTCTCTCTCTCTCTCTCTCTCTCTCTCTCTCTCGCTTCATGCTACCTCACAGGGCACGTACACAGACCCAGGGGATCCAAACTCAGGTCCCCATGCTCATACAGCAAGCACTTGACCTTACGGAGCCATCCTCCAGCCTCCACTGCCTGCTCCGTTATATCACCATATTCTGTCATGAACCTTCCCGAGCGGGCTAGTAAGAATGGCTAGGGGTGGGCAGACGGTTCAGTGGGTACAGGCATCAGCAGCCCAGCCTGACGACTTGAGTGTGCTCTCTCGGGGACACACACACAGAAGAAGGGAACCAACAGCTGCCCCTTGTCCTCTGACCTCTGCACTTGTGTGCCCACGAACAGTGAATAAATAGGATAAAAATTAAAAATTTCCCAAAGAATGATGGTGCGATCCGCCAGCAATGAGCATGGTAGAATTCGGCCTATGTTGGAAAGAGGGCCAGCTGATACATACATGCTCAGGAAGTATGGGTAGCTATTTTGTTTGTTGTTGTTACTTTGCTACCATGGTTGAATCCACGTTAAACACAAGCTCCGTGATCCATCACCGAGCTGCGCAGCAGCCCCCAGCCCTTACCGCCACCTGGGATCAGTCAGCACTGTACATGCAACCCACCTAACTTTTACCTGTGCTGGAAGCTCAGTGCTATGATTGTCTCCATTTTACATACAGAAAAACTGAGTCTCAGAGCTTGCTTGCTCGCTTGCTTTTATTGGTAACTTTGAGGAAACAAAGTGTTACTGGCTCCCAGCTGGGTCTCAGAACTAGGTGGTTGGGACCACAGACCCTGCTTAAAGCTAAGCCCCTAAGAGATTTGGAGTGGTGTCCCCCAGTCCAACACCCTCGCCCAGACACAGAAGGAGGCACGCGCATTTCCATCCCCCACGCTGGGTAAAGTGGAGAACACCCTACCTCTGGTACACAAAACTCAACCTATTACCCTCTCAGCTGGCTTTCTTTGCTCTAGCCAACTTGGGCAGACTAGGAAATGATGGGCTTGGTCCTCTTGTCAAAGGAGGAGGTGTGGAGCCCAAGGTGAGGAACCCCAACATGGGCTTCAGGAAGCGCAAGGGACCAGCTGGAGAAAAGCACTGGCACCTTCACGGGTCAGGAGCACCAGAGAGGTGAGAACCCTGATGGGTGTGGCTGGTGTGTATGTGTGTGGGGGTGCAGCAGGCAGAAGAAGCCAGAAGCCAAGAACTGGAGTGTATTTGGGGGTGCCTGTGTCAGGGCGCAGCATGGAGCTTCCTCTGGGACAGAAACAGAGCTGGGGTAGGAAGAAAGCCAGTTCTGAGGTGAGAGTTATCTTCTGTCTCCTGCATCCACATCCACACCACACCAAGAAAATCCTCACCACCACCACCACCACCACCACCACCACCACCACCACCACCACCACCACCACCCCTGCCATCCGGGCTCCAGTTTCTCAACTTCTCACCCTGGTCAGGGCGCAGACTGGAGTACCGGGTCCGCCTAGACCGCAGCCTTTTTTTCGGGGTCCCTGAGCACCCCAACTTCTGACATACATGCACACCTGTACAGGCTACAGGCTCCAGCCCTGGTCCCGAGTCTTCGGCCTCCTGGGCTTCTGCCATCCCGCCTGTACCCCCACGATGCCAGAGTCCACATCCCGGGCCCCTTTCTATTAACCTTCCTTCTCTTCCTATAGACACCTGCCATTTCTTCTTCTCTACAGCCCCCTCGCCCCGCTCCGCCCGCCCCAACTCGGCAACCTGCTTTTCTCTCCCCAATTCATCACCTGTTTTTCCTTTCCTCTCTCTCTCCTTCTTTCTGCCACAAATCTGTGGCACCCTCAAAAATATTGATCCCACCCCCCCGGGATTCCGCGGCAGCAGCAGCACTTTTGGAAGGAGGGACAGAAGGGGAGCAGCGCATGGGACCTCCAGAGCCGGGAAATCGGGCTCAGGGCGCCCCGAAGCGACACTTCTCTTCGCCAGCGCCCGGGGCTGCGCGAGCCCACGCGACATCTGTCGCCCGCGCTCCCGGCTCACACCCTGCTCACCCCCGCAGCTCCCCGGGCGCTGCCACCCCCCACGCTCCGGCTGCCGCCTCTCCCTGCGGCGCGGCGCCAGCTTTCCAAGGTGTCTGCGCGCCCGCCCGCGAGGCTAGGCTGGGATCGGCGCGCGCGCGACGCGACGTCTCCGGGTTTCTGGTTACCTCACCTGTGGTCTTCACCCCCACTCTCGGAGGTCAACCTAGTGCCCCCCATTCCCGTTCTCTGAATCCTCTCTACTCAAGAACCTAGGAAGGTGACCCTGACACTTCTACCCCCCCCCCCCCAACTAGCTTAGCACACACAACGCCTGGCAGACAGCGGGTGCTCCCAGGTCCCCCTATCAAGGACCCACCTACAGCCACTGGGCATCAAACGTGAGACGCTCAGCACCCACTCAGCACCCTGTGACCACCGGGAGCACACAGCAGGCTCCCACACCTCACACCGCATCCATTGGGGGTGACAGGAGGCCAAGCTCTAAACCGCGACACCTCGCGGTGAAAGGAGCCACGAAGTTACCCGGGAGATGGGACGCTGAAGTGCGCCTGCCTGGGGGGTCGGGGATCGAGGACCAGCACCCAGCCAGTGAGAAACTTCCATGGGAGGGGATGGAGGCGGGGGGGGGGGTTGTCACAGAGAATGAGGATTCGCAAACTGCAGATGTGACACTCGGGGGAGCAGGGAGTTAAGAGCGGAGAGATGGAGACCTGAGCAAGCCTGGAGTGACTGTTGGCGTGGATGGGACTGGGGAGGGGGAGGCTTTTAGCTCCGTCCAGTATGGTTCTGCTCCGTGTGTTTACTGGGGCTGGTGACGACGGTGACGGCTTAAGTCCTTCTAAAGCCACTGTGCGGGAGAGGAGGGAGGGGGAGAGAGAATAGAGAGGGAGGAGAGAGTGGAGACATAACAGAGGGGGGCGAGGGGAGAGAGAGGGAGGGAAAGAGTGTGTGAAGACGGGAGAGGGAGAGAGAGAGAGAGAAGAGGAGAGGAGAGCGAGAGAGAGAGAAGAAAGGGGAGAGAGGGAGAGAGAGAGAGAGAGAGAGAGAGAGAGAGAGAGAGAGAGAGAGAGAGAGAAAGGTGCAGATACAAAAGAGGAAGGGAAGAGGAGAGAAAACATTGAAGAAAGAGAAGACAGGACAGGGTGGAAAGAGAAGGGAGCGAAAGACAAGAGAGAGGTGGGAAGAGAGAGAGAGAGAGAGAGAGAGAGAGAGAGAGAGAGAGAGAGAGAAAGAGAGAGAATCAGAGTGAGAGGAGAGTGAAAATCGGAGAGGGGAGGAGAGAGGCAGTGTTGGGGGGGGGGGAAGAGTGAAGACCGAACCTAGAGAGACAAGCGGGGAAAGGAGGGAGGGAGAGAGAAAACGAAGAAGAGAGGAGAGAAAGAGAGAAAGGAGAGAGAGACAGAGAGAGAGAGACAGAGACAGAGAGAGAGACAGAGTATGAGACAGAGACAGAGACAGAGACAGAGACAGAGACAGAGACAGAGACAGAGACAGAGACAGAGACAGAGACAGAGAAAGAAACAGCGCGTAGCAGACGCTCCGGGTCTGGGCCGAGAGGGGACAGGGCAAGCGAAGAGGAGCGAGCTGCTCCCGGAGGTGGCGCCCTGGCTCCCGCCGCCGCGCTCGCTCTCCCTCCAGCTCCCCGGCTCGCCCGCTCGCCTTCTCGCCGGCCCGCGTACCTGTTGCTCGGTCCGGGCTGGGTCTCGGCTCCGGTCCCCCCTACCAAGAAGGCCCCGCGCGCGCCGCCTACGCGCTCCGCCTGCCGAGCAGCCA